CTTGGGTTGAGCAAGCCAAAGCTGTGAAATCTAAATTAAATTTCCTAGAACAAGGTAGTAGAATCCAGTATGATAGAACCCAGATGCAATTGGAGTGCCAAGGCTCTTTTAAAACATACAAATTGCTGCCTAATGCATTTTATAGATACATGTGAAATGGGAATAAAGGCTAATGTAATTGTTCAACAATGTGGTGCAGATGATGAAATCTAAGCACTTAATTTGGAAAAGAGTATAGTATTAAGATGACTGCATTGATTACTGTGAAGAGTATGACATGTTTGAATGGGCTTGACTGAGAAAAATAACTGTGCTCTGTAATTTAGAACTCTAAAGCTAGTTATTTCTTCTAGGAACATGCATTTTATTTAATCAGCTTTCTCTATTAGTTGTTTATAGACAATGTTTGAAATAACACCACCACCACCAACAAAAACACACCACATTTCAACCTCCCAAATAGAATTGGATTTGTTCTACAAATGTAATAGTATATATTATTTCTCAATATGGCTAATTCAAAAGATGAATTGTGCCGGGCATGGCGGTTCACGCCTGTAATCCTAGCACTCTGGGAGGCCAAGGCGAGCGGATTGTTTGAGGTCAGGAGTTCGAAACCAGCCTGAGCAAGAGCGAGACCCCGTCTCTACTAAAAATGGAAAGAAATTAATTGGCCAACTAAAAATATATATACAAAAAATTAGCCAGGCATGGTGGCGTATGCCTGTAGTCCCTACTCAGGAGGCTGAGGCAGTAGGATCACTTGAGCCCAGGAGATTGAGGTTTCTGTGAGCGAGGCTGATGCCACGGCACTCACTCTAGCCAGGGCAAAAGTGAGACTCTGTCTCAAAATAAATAAATAAACAAATAAAAAAGGTTTATATACAAAAGATGAAAGACAAATTACTAAATTAGGGACAATTTTATAATAAAAACCTAAATTTCTATTTCTTATTTTGTTTTCAAAATATTATAAGGCAAGATCTAGCAGCATATATGTATGTATTTCTTTACTCATATTTCCCTCCTAAAGCCCCACTGGGAGAGGTGCCATTGGTTCTCTGTTTGGAATTCAGCAGAAACACTCCAGAAACTCACAGAGGCACTATGGAAACAGAAACTTCTCCTTACTGTTCTGGGACTGCTGGTTGTCAAATAAGTAGAAGGAAAGCTATCCAGTTCCAAGTTCAATGAGTTTTCCCGGTCTCCATGATGAGGGCTTTGGAAGATGTCTTGTCAGATGCTGTCTCCTCTCACTCCTTCCTCAATAGGCAGTTTACTCTCACTCAGAGGACCCGCTCAGGCAAAAATCACATTAAAGCTTATCTTTAATAATCCTTGCTCTCTTCTTTGGACCATTCTTCTGTCCCAGGGACCCTTCTGCCACCCCAGTCAAAATAATGGAATCAACTTAGCCACATTTACAAAGACTCCTTGGCTTAAGATGATTTGACTTGATTTTTATTTTATTTTATGATGGTGCAAAAGCAACATACACTCAGCAAAAACAATGGTTTGAATTTTGATCTTTTCTTGGGCTAGCAATGCAAGCAGAGGCACAGCTCTGTCAGACACAATCGATTGTGAGGGTAAACAATCAATACTCTATAGCAAACTGTGTTGCCAGATGATTTTTGCCCCACTGTAAGACAATAAAAGTGTTCTGAGCACATTTGAGGTACTAGGTTAAGCTATGATGTTTGGTAAATTAGGTGTATTAAATGCATTTTTGAATTAGGATATTTTCAATTTATGATGGATTTATTGGAATGGAACCTCATCATTAGTCAAGGAGCGTCTGTATTTTGTTACTTAGCACAGAGATATTTATATTTCAAAATAAATGTCATATTAAAAGCATAATTTCAAGTATCAGAGTGAAATTTTTGGTTGGCTAAATCTTAGACAAGTATAGCCAATGATATTTTAAAAATCATAAAAGTTAATATTTTAGAGGAATTACAATTGAAATATGTAAGATTTTCTGCATTAGTTCCCCCTCAGATTGTTTTAGAGAACCAGTCCACATTGCTGTAATCTTTTAACTTCATGTGACATATGTTTCGTAACACTTAAGTACAATGAAGTGAAGATCAGGTCACCTAGAATCCCATTATTTCCCAATATCATTCAGCTTGGTATTCATTTGAAGGTGGCAATGATAACCTAATGCTTTTTGTTTACATCTTCACCAAGGGGAGAACTGCATGCTTTCACTTATTAATAACAAATCAAGACATGATATCTGCTCAGATGATAGCCTCTCCAGCACCCAACATTAAACATAATTTAAAAAATAAATCAATAATACAATGTTCTTTCTGCTCCTACTTTTCTTGTTTAGCTTGTTTAAAAAATGTGGAAGTAGCTGGGTATAGATTATAATGTTAATATATGGTACATAAGGAAAGGTTGCTGTAAGTTTGTGGCTTCCTCTAACATTCATCACATGCACAATATGTCTCAAAGTTCACCACCATAAATCTTTTGGTTCTCAGATAGTATTACAGTATCCCAGCTGTTAAAAATCATTACATATAGTACCAGACCTCAGAAAAGGATGACTCCCTGCAGGTACAAAGATTGTCTTTCTCAATACCTATAGGGGATAATCAATTAATTTAAGAATTAGAAGTAACAAGATGATACCATCAGTTTTCTACTTGAGTAAGCTAGTTATTTAACATCTTTGTGCTTCTTTTTTCTCAGTTGTAAACATGTTCTAATAATTTACCCATCCCACTGGGTCTTTGTGACGATTAAATTAAATAATGTTTATAAAATGCCTGGCAAATAAAAGTCACGTAATGATTGGCAGCCATTACTATTGTTCTATCAATATTTGAATTTGGAGAATGATTTCACTCCTTGGGTACACACCGAGTAGTGTTGGTTTAAAGTGGGTTACAAAGGCAGAGGGTGGATTTCAGAAACAAATCTGAGAATTCTTGCTAAATTAAGCTGCATGGAAAGCAATCATGAAAAACAACAACAGTGGATTTGCTACTGAAAAAACTTTCAATGAAACCTGGGACTTTCAATGAAACCTGCCAAAAATACTGCTAAAGGAAATATGAGACATGCTCTAGGCTAGGTTATGTCTAGCTTAATTTAACTGACTGCCTTGTCATACAGTTGGGAACAAGAAACATACATAAATTACAAAATACATAAAATAAGGTGTTTTGAAATACACATCACACCTCTGCTCACTGACTTTAAAACTGCAAACTGAAGGTTAAAGTAACACAGACATGCTTGTGGCTCTTCAAGTAGTTAATGAATGACCCTTATGTTAAGTACCCTAGACTACCTAAGAAAGATTTTTCTTTATCATTAGATTATGATGGGAAAATATTTCCTATGTATTGATAGGATAACAGACCAAATAAAATATAAAGAGTGTCTCTAGTCTAAGAAAGACATTCTATGTTGTATTTCTTTTTTTTGAGACAGAGTCTCACTTTGTTGTCTGGGCTAGAGTGAGTGCCGTGGCGTCAGCCTAGCTCACAGCAACCTCAAACTCCTGGCTCAAGCAATCCTTCTGCCTCAGCCTCCCAAGTAGCTGGGACTACAGGCATGTGCCACCACGCCTGGATAATGTTTTCTATATATATTAGTTGGTCAATTAATTTCTTTCTATTTATAGTAGAGACAGGGTCTCGCTCTTGTTTAGGCTGGTTTCGAACTCCTGACCTCAAGCAATCCCCTCGCCTTGGCCTCCCAGAGTGCTAGGATTACAGGCATGAGCCACTGCCCCTGGCCTCTGTGTTGCATTTCCTTCCACTTAATCTCTAAAGTGGGATAACAAAAGGTTTCTCCACCTGGATACGTTCCTGACATCTCTCAATAACTCAAGAGCCCCTCAAACTCTGTATGTCCAAAAATGATCTCATTATCCACACCTACCCCCAACCTGCTCCTCTTCCTGTGTTCCTTGTTATATCCTTGTCATAGCAAACAGTACTATCACCTGCAACTCATTCAGTTTTGCAAGCTGGAAACTTAGGTGTCATTCCTGACAATCCCCATTTCTTCCTCCCAAATCCATTCCATCATCAAGCACTGTGGATTTTACTTCCTAAATTTCTCCTTCTCTCCATCTCTTTTTATCTCCCCAGCCATCTGTCTAATCTAACCTGTTACCACCTCTCTTCTGGACTATTGTCACAGCCTCCTAACAAGCCTCCCTCCATACGTCCCCTCCCCTGCCAACGCAGCCTACACTACCCACAAAGTATCCTCACGCCATTGCATGATCTGGATCAGATTTTCCTGCTTCTCCAACTCTGAGCTTAAAATGCTTGATGACTTCTGATGGTTTAGGATGAAGAGAAAAAAACACCTTAACATGGTGTACCGTGCCCTACCCCTGCCTCCTGCATGTTAATTTACTCTTCTTGCCTCTGTCACAGTCACACAAACCTCTGTGCTCCCTCCTGGCACAAGGCAGCTCCAGCTTTTCCTGATGCCAGAAACACTCTTGCCAGTCCTCTTTGCCTAACGACCTCTGCAGATTTTCCTTTCACTCCCATGAGGAAGCTTTCCTTGACCCCCTGGACCACATCAGGTCCCTGCTACCCACTTTCATAACACCTTGCAACACTCCTTCGTAACACTTAACAAAGTTGTGACTTTAATTTTTTGACACCCTAATTAACATATGCTTTTCCTTCCTATTAATCTATTAAGTCCTATAGACAGGGGACCACATCTATTTTTGGTCACCCATGAGCCCCAGCCCATGCACAAGGTATATGATCTAGCAATACTCAATAGTAAATATTTGTGGAATGAATGAATAAGTAATGTCAGGTGAGTCTCATGTTGTTTTCAGTGAAGAGACTCTACTGCTTTGCTTTTTAAAAAAAGCCTCAGCAGGCAGTCCGCTATGTAAAATGCCCGGTTTGGTGTGTGAATATAAACATGAAAATGGTTAATGCAATCAAATTGTGGTAAGGATATGGGGTTTTGCCAAAGTGAGTTTTTACAGTTTTTACCTTTAGTTTTAAGGAGTTCAGTTTTTCCTCCCTGAGGTGTTCTCTCAGCATCTCCCGGTGCAGCCTCTCCTGCTCCCTGGCGAACTCGCCCAGGGTGTACTGGCGCACGCTGTTATGGCGGCTGGACATGCCCAGGGTGCTGCCCCCTTGGCTGGGCACGCTCGTGAAGCCTTGCCTCCTGGTGAAGTAGTACACGGTGACACAGCTAAAATGCACATTCTTTGTCCTCAGCCGCTTCTCCCTCTTGAGAATGGAGGAAGCTGAAAGAGAAGGAAACAATTCTGTGAACGCCTAGGGCAGCAGTGTTGAGATGAGACCAAGAAAATGCCACGTGATGATCTTAAATCTAAGTCAACCCTTTTTGGCCAGGGACTCTAAAAATGTTATAGTCCACAGTTGGCACAAAGTTCTTTTTATTTTATTTCTTAAATTTTCTTCTAGCTGTGGCAGAGCACAATTTTAAGTATTTCTATAAAGGTAATCTTAGCAAACTTTAAGGGAAGTGGGCAATAGTCTAGGAATCAGTGGCAGAATTTACAATAGCGCCCCCCATTATTTTGGGGGGATACATTCCAAGGTCCCCAGGAAATGCCTGAAACCATAGAATTACCAGACTCTATATACACTATGTTTTTACCTCCACATGCATTCTCATGATAAAGTAATTTATAAATTAGGCACAGTACGAGAGTAACAACAATAATTAATAATAAAGTAGAATAATTTCAATAATATGCTAACATCACTACTTTTGTTCTTTGGGGCCATTATTAAGTAAAATAAGGATTCCTTGAGCACAAGCACTGTGATACCGCAACAATGGATCTGATACCCAAGACAGCTACTAAGTCGCTCTTGGGTAGGTAGCATAGACAGCACTGACATGCTGGAAAAAGGATGATTCAAGTCCCAAAGGGGATAAAGTAGGACAGCACCAGATTTCACCATGCTACTCAGAACGGTGCACGATTTAAATCTTATGCATTGTTTATTTCTAGAATTCTCCATTTAATAATTTCAGATTGTGGCTGACCACAGGTAACTGAAACTGCAGGAATCAAAACCGCAGATATGGGGGAACCACTGTCATTCTTCATTTCTCCCAATCCTTTGACTTTTGGTTTTATTATTTTCACACGAGATGTATTATACTATAATCAGAAAAGACACATAACACAAACCCTCATATCTTGGATCTAATTTCTATATGAAGGGTGTTTGGCATAAAAAGAATGCCTATTTGTATATTTTAGAAAAGTCCAAAAAGCAATAAAAATACACACACAAAAAGCTTCCTGGCATTACTTAGATATTTTAACAATCTAAACCTAACCAAGTTTTCACTTGAAAAAAAACACCAGTTTCCGCATTAAATAGCATTACAGACAGTGAGATTTTAATCTAAGTATACAATGAGATGAGCGAAAATGCCATGAGATATATCAGAACTTTTTATTATTATTATTATTATTTTTAAATGACAAATGCAAATTGTATAAATTTATAGTATATAACATGATGCTTTGATATATGTATATATTGTGAAATTGCTAAATCAGGCTAATTAACGTTGCTATTACCTCACATACCTATTTTTTTGTGTGTGTGATGATCAGAACCTTTATTATTAGTTACAGGGACATCAAGATGGACAGAACATCAAAGATAGTTGAAGTAGACACTGTCATTGAGAAAAAGAAGGGCAACTGCACATTATAAACATGACATTTTGGAGGTGGAAGACATGGTAGAATCATCTTGCCTAGTAGCCCTTTTACTTTATAGTGAAGTAACTGAGGCTTAGAGAATTTGAGTGACCTCTTTTGATGTAGATAGTGGCACAGTTAAATTTGAACCTAAAAGCTCCCAATCTGGTGCCATATTATATGATACTTCCCCTTTGAGGAAGGAAACACACATAGTTGAGGAGAAAGAAATAGAATTATGCTATTATGGGTTGAATTGTATCTCTTCCCCCCAAAATATGTTAAAGTCCTAACCCTCAGTACCTCAGAATGTAATCTCATTAGGAAACAGGATCTTTACCTAGGTAAACAAGCTAAATAGAGGTGGTTAGGGTGGGCCTAATCCAAGATGACTGAATTAAAGGTATATAAAAGGGTTAAATTTGAACACAGATATGCATAGAGGGAATGCGTGAAGAGACACAAGGAGAACACTGTGTGAAGACAGACACAGAGATAGAGATTATGGTGCCACAAGCCAAGGGACATCTAGGGCTAACACAAGCTGGAACATCCAGGAAAAAACCCTTTCCTAGATGTTTCAAAGGGAGCATGGCCCTGCTAATGCTGGGATTTTGTCTTCGGACCTCCAGAAATGTGAGAAGAGAAATTTCTGCTGTTCTAAACCACCCATTTTTAATTTATTTTTTTATGGCAGCCCTAAGAAACGCATACACATGCTCAAGTAGAAAAAGAAAAAATACAATGAACTGAGAAAGTTAACATTTACGGAGTGCTTTCCATGTGCTATACTATGCAAAGAACTTAACATGAATCATCTCACTTTATCATTAGAACTCCTTGAGTTGATATAACCCATGTCCTCATTTTTACGAAACCAAATAACAAAACACTAAATAACATGGCCAGGGTCATAGAGCTGGAGGCGAAACTGGGATTCGTTATTCAGAGCCCTAGCTTCTTAACACCATGTCACAGCAGAAAGCTGAAGCTACACCAGGGGAGGTGAACAAGGCTGAGAAGTGCTACCTACTACCTCTGGTAGATATCAACTGGCTTCAAAGACGATTTTGATTTGGAAGGCTGTATGAGCAATGAAAGAAAAACAACTACAATATCAACCTGGATTTATGTAAGAATCTTTTCCCAAGGAGGTTCAAGTTCCTTTGTCTCCTTTTTTTCCTCCATAAAACATTCAAGCCAAATATAGAGAGACTGCTATGATGAATATCGTTTCATGGATTTATTTAGTCAATAAATATTAATTGAGAGCCTGTTATGTACCAGGCACTTTCTAGGCACTTGGGATATATCACTTTAAAAAATAGATAGTGATCCCTGCCCATGTGGAGTTTCCATCCCAGTTATAAGAAACTCAGAATTAAGACACTCAGAAGATTAGAAAATAAGAGAATTATGACATTAGAGAAAAAATTCAGCTTTCCCAACTTTCCCTCTTCTCTACTGTTTTACTTCTTCAGAAGAGACTGCCAGAAAGCAAATGCTTTCAAAGTGTACATAAGTTCTCCATTTATTTATGTATACATTTGCTGCAACCCACTGGTACTCCTGGCAGTAAAGACAATTTTCAACTTTGATTTAAAAGTTTTGATCTGCTTCATAACTGTGTGTTTAAATCATCTCAAAACAGAGAAGGACTTGTCAAAATGTAAAAGATCACCATAGAAAGCAAAATTCAACAATCTGCCCAGTAATCTGCTACCAAATCTGACAACCTCATCCATCACCAGTTTACCGCAGGCCAGAACCTCTGGTTTTGAGGTGATAACCTTCAATCTTTTTCACACTTAATAGTATAAGAATGATGCCCTTAAGACATTGTCTTTCAAGGCCATAAATTTGCCAATAAGGAAAAAGGTTTTAATGTACAATGTGTTCATTTGAAATAATTATGATAAACACTTCTGATAGTTTTATTACTTGTTTTTAGACAATTTGTGGCACTCTAGACAAGAAAAAAGGTTTTAATGTATTCATTTAAAACAATTATTATAAATACCTCTAGTAACTTTATTACTTATGTTTTAGACAATTTGTGGCCCTCTAGATGAATTTTTCACCCTTATGGATGAATCTATTGCACAACCCTTTCCCTAAAAGCCACATTACCTTTTCTTTAAATGCCAGAGTTCAGAGATGATTTGCTACGGCTTTGGAGAATGACAATGGTGGCAAAAAGCAGGAGCCCTTTGGCAGGACTCTTGGGAGCTCTAACATTGTCAACAGGTGTTAGGAACAGTGTTCCTCCTACCAATTAGGTTTCATGATTGAAATATGTGCTTATGCTTATTTTGCAAATTATAAGTAGCATTGGAAGAAAAATGATTCAAAAGCCTATGGAAAATATTTAAAGGGAAGGTTTTGGAATACTGTAAGATCAGCCTCATGGGGGATATTTTACGTGTGCCTGTCCTGAACTTAGGAGCCATCCAAGCCTCTCTTCTGATGATTGAATCATGGAACTAGAAGGGGACTTTATGTGCTATCTCCTGCCTCCAGCCCCAAATTTGACTAACATCACAAAATGAAGTTATAAAAAAAGAGTCTGTGTTCTTTGAACCTGGAAAAAGCAGACTAAATTCACTCAGCACATCTGCCTTAGGGAATCTGAAACCTTCTTGATATGCCTAACTAGTAATTTGTGGCCTTTGCAATAGGATTGAACTACACACTTTGTGTCTCTCCAGAGTTCAGTGTTGGCTTTACTATTGCAAGGTCAAGAGCAAGAAAAAAGGGGAGGAGAATGTGGCTTTCATGACTGTTTTGAAAAATAATTAGTCTGTTTTCATACTTGATAGCAATTTTTTGTGACTTTCAGATCCTTTCTTTCATCTCAACCACAGTATCACTCTGAAGCAAAAGTGTCTAAATGCAGTAGTACTACAAGATACTCCCCCCAAAACAGCTCTCAGGAACAGCATTACGGCCAGCACATCTGGCCACCCTGGGATTACTGTAAAATGATCACATATTATAGAGATACTATTGATCTTTGTAAATTAAACGAATAAACAACGCAGAGTGACTGACATTTGCTATCTGCAGAAGTTTCCACCCTAAAAAATCCTTTAAAAATGGATGGAGAAGAGAACTGGAAAATTGACCAATTCATAATGCCACAGTAAGAACATAGGTAAATAAAATAATCTGTACTGTAAACTATTTAAAGAAAGAGCACGTGAACAGAGTGGATTAAAAATAGAAACCAAAAATTAAAAATTGCACAGTATGCTTCCAGTAGTATCTTTAAGGAAGGAATAAGTGCTTTGATGAGATAAATATTCTGTTCCCACACAGAGGAGGTTTCCAAGTTGAATAACGCTAAGTTCTAGGAAAATTCAACTGACTTTGCTCCATTTCCTCACTCATAAACCAACCTGTCTATATAAATTGGAATATATCTTCAAGTCTAAAAGATTATCTGTCTGACTTGTCAATTTTATTTCTTATTGAAAATAATCGATTTTGCTTTCTGATTTATGCTTCAGCCATTTGTGAATGCTATTAATGTGTGTCATTCCACCTGAGCTTGG